CTTGAAATGCCTCCCTACAACGCGGGGCGACGCAGTAGGTACGCTCGACCAAGCCATGGTACGCGTCCTTCCAGCTGCGCATCCATAACAAATGCCACACATGGGTGGGAAATGTGGTGGTACGCTTAGGTGCGGGTTCACGCCGTGAGGTCTAGTGGCACGCCTAGACGCATGTTCCACGCCGTGGGTGTTGGTGGCACGACTAGGTGCATGTTCACGTCATGGTGTTAGGTGGCACGACTAGGTGCAGGTTCAAAAGAATAAAATGCGATCACTGGAACAAGAATTTTATTTTCCTGAAATTTCATATTCTGCGGAAAATCCTTAACCATAAGTAACCCTAGGATGGTGTGAGAGCATGCGCATGTCCACAGCCTAAGGGTTCAGCCACAATGACTTCCATGTGGATTTTTTTTGAAGCGATAGTAGACTTACGCTGCATCTACCACACACTATCTTCCCTCACCCACCCGTGTCAAGAGAGTCAAGAACGGAGGCAGGATGGGGCGCAGGCGATCTAAGCGGCCATCTAGCCTTTGAAATAGAAGTGTTGCCATGGATCCCAGTTCGTACAACCGAAACCTCCGTGTCACACAGCCACTACTGGTCCAGGCTGTGTGAAATGGGATTCCAGCCGCTGTTGCATATACTCTTGTGTTAAAATCCTTTTCAAATGGAGGCTTGTAGTGTCTAAGCAGTGTAGGTCTTGCGACCCACTGATGAGCTCAGTCTCTCGGAGCTGTGTCGTGTCACGCCTGAATATCGGCATCCGGCCTTTTAACTAGTACCTGTACTGTCGGCATGGTGTATCGTTTAGTCCATATATATACTACTGAATTCGAAAATTGGTATCCCAAGAAATATAATTTGGTGAAAGAAGTCCGTTGGGAAACGCTAACAAACTTGATTGTTTCAAGGAAAGGCATCCTTTCAGTTTATACGAAGCTTGATTGTAAATTGTCCCTCGTAGCAGTCCTTTTTGTTGTAACGGTAGCCAAAGCCGAGATGTCACCGCCTAACTACGCCTCGTGTGAGTCTCCCAAGAAGAATACGATAAGAACAGAGCAAAAGCAGAAGTCTTAGATCGAAATTGGTTCAACATATTTAGGGCGACAAACACGTGTAAAACTATGTTCATCGTGCCAATCAACTTCTGTCCTGACATGGATAGTGGCACGATTGGCTGGTGACTCACGGCTGGCTATAGCTTAAATTTTGAATTATTGATTGATTGACGGCCTGTATGCGTTCGCCGTGTGTAGGCTGATCGATAGCCTGCCATGAACGCGGCTCGCTGCCTGTATGCTAGCTATTCGTTAGGCTCGTCCTAACACTTTTCAAGCTCGGCCCCAAACTAAATATGAATATCTTAGCTGAAATCCACCAGCTACTGCGGTACCACCACAAGCTGCCAACAGGCAGTCAGCCATATGCACTATGTAATTATTTACCATGCTGACAGCTAGTACCGGTATGGTAAATAATTACGTATTACTAACAATACTTCTTGATTATGTGCTCTAGACCTGAGCTCGGCGGCCAAGTGGAGATGCTGAGCCTTCTCTTTTCTATTGAATTTAATCCGCGAATTTGGCGTAAAATTTTCGGGATTTATCTTTTCAGACATTATACAAAATGAACTCTTTCTCATCTATTTACTGAACACATCTTTCAAAGTACATAACAGCTGACTCTGTTCAGCAGTTTCTACTATTCTGACTGCTACTACAAGTCGCAGCGAGTTCTCGCGTATACTTCACCCGTAAGGACCTAAAAGCCAGTGTACAACAGAAACATACGATGTTCTGTTGCCTTCCAAGTCTCAAACTCCTCTAACCGACGGGCCTTGTGCGTGAATTAATAGGGCTGGCTATTACAAAGTAGCAGTCTCTCACTAAGGCTTTGAGATTCTGGAAGTGACAGTTGGTACTCACATTATAATATACTCCTGAGCCTCCCCACTAGGTACACTAGTGCATGGAATTCAAGGGAAAGACGCTACCAAGACCTATAAGATAATAAGGGAGATGTGCCGACGCGGTCAGGTACATTAAAAATATAAGCTACGTCTTGGTGGACGCTGTCGTCCATACCCACATAAACTGTTTTATCACCTAAACGTTCGCTTAAAATAGTGCACTTATCGCAGCTTTCGTAGGCATCTACATTCTCGATTTGTTTGAGTTACGCCGGAGCACGTGCGCTGCAACTGATGGCACAAACCACCACGCCTAATTCGGGGATGAACATCCCCTTACTCCCACTAATTAATATAATACATTCGTTTATTAACGTTCACCGATCGCTAACGGAACTCAATCGTTCCGCTCTGCCCGGGGCTCGTTCGCGAACCCTGCCAGCAGCCACATAGCGGCTAATAGTCCAGGCAGAGACAAGGAAGACTGCAGTGGCCATTTCTGGTTAACTAGTCGTCGTCAGCCAGTCATACCCAA